GCTCATTGGCTGAGGCGCGGCCAGGGGGCGGGGCCCAGCAGGGGTTTAAAGGGGCAGCGGCGCTCGGGGGACGCGCCGGGCCCTGGCCCGGGCACGCCCGTCCCGGCGGGGGCGAGGCCGCAGCGATGGGAGAAACGCCCGAGCAGGAAACAGTAAAACACACGAAAAAGCCTTTGGTATAAGATACATCAGCCCTGAGCGCAGGGACAGGCCCAGCACGCGGCAGGGAACGTCTGAAAGCGGGGGCCGGGCGGGTGCTCGCGTCTGGAAACACCGTCCGGGTAGAATCGGTCAGGGGGGCCCTTTCCTCATGGGAGGGAAACGGACGCACAAGGCGGCCCCCGCGGTGCAGAGCCAGGCCAGGACCCCGGCGCCTCCTGCTGTCGAGTCTTCCCGTGACCAAGCCCGCAGACTGAAACTGATCTGTCAGTTGGATAAAATGAATGATCAAGTCCTGTCCTTTACAAAGTGAAACTTAGTAATTAAACCAAAAGAGGTTCTTTGGCTGCTAAGCGACACCTTTAACACACAGCTAAAGAGAAATCAGAAATATCTACTAAAATTGAATAGAAAGACATTGACAGGACAAAGTAGTAGTTATTCATAAACCACTTCAGCCAGCTTCTGCTTGCTTGGAATGCAGATGCCCTATTTCTAATTGTAAGCAACTATGGACATTTAATTCCCTTGCATCACCCTTAGAATTCTATTGAAAATGTAATTCATAACTTGACATTCAGAAGAAAAAACTACAAATAAGTACTGAACTGCTCAGCAGGACAAAAGCGAAAACTCCAAGCACATATCATGACACACCTCTTCCTCCCAACACGGACTGAAAGAGGTCAGTATACATCTCAGCAAAAACAATGACATGGAAATAGAAGTGTTGCCTTCCGGTAGGAAGGCAGGGAAAACATTAGCACTGGTGTCTCAAACTAGAACCAGAAATTGGCCTGAAAAATATCTTCACATTTTTGTCACCAGTATAACAGTTACAAAAACTACATGTGTTAGCTCTAACAGAATATAGTTTTTTTTTTTCTCACATATTTACACTGAATTCAGCAGCATTCTATCTTATTTCAATTTTTATTATTACATTTACTTTGTGATACACTGATTTAATGGAATAGACACAAAAAAATTTACTATAGCCATATAACAGTCATTTAAGCATAATGTATCACTGGGTGACTAAATGCTCTACTCATTAAACTAACATTTCATTCCCCTCAATTTGGGGAGACTAAAGTGCAATTAAGTGTCTCTCCCCTCCTGTTTCCTTTTCCCTGTATTCTGTAATCAAAGAATGGCAGCAATCTGTTAATGCAAGTATCCAGAGCCTTACCTGCTCCATTTCCACCAGCATTTCAGGCATTGCCTCAAACTACAGAAGGAATTACCAGCCTAGGAAATTATTGCAGTTCAACTGCGCATTTGTCCCTTTGTCTGCTTTTGCCTGCAGAGAGCACACAGACTGAAAGCAGCAATAGCTCAGGTGACCTTTGAAACCAAAACGCTAATCCAAGCCCTGTATCACGTGTGGCTCTGAATCCTGTTAAGCTTTTGGTTTATTCCCAGTGGTACCATTTAAGCAGCTCAGTATGAACTTAAACTTTTACTTCATAACAGCCGGCAAGAGCAAGTGCAGCCATTGTGTGTATAAAAGGTATTCAGAGCGCTGGCACTGAGTCTTACACAGCTTTCCTTTCACAGGAAACAGGAGGAGGGCTCTAATTAGGTCAGCCAGGTGGAGGGTTCTAGCAGCTCTTCATTTTACATTTAAAGTAAGGACAGCCTAGACCTTGCTACAATAAAGCAAAATGGACAATCAGAGAAATAATTTATTGTTAAATCATATATCCTTTCAATTAAAACAGTATGTTCCGCAACATGAAAGTAATTGATTCCTGCAGTGAATACTTCAGTCAGCTGAGCTACCAGTATCAAGGTTTCAGGTTTGAGAACGTATTTCATATGTGCATGAAACTGGCAAAACCACTTAGACTGAAGTTGACACAAAGCACTCAATTTCCCCTTCGCTTCCACTCTTCTCTTCCCAGTCTGCTCTACATTGTTTACCTCTGTTTTAAAGCTAAACAAAAAAATCAACATTGCTCTAAGGCTAGCCATAATTATTTGCTAGAATTTCCCTAATTTTTGTCAATATAAGCATGCTCTTGCTAGCCTAAAGTAACACTTAGGCCAAACTGCCCATTAAGCTAGAAAGTTTTAAGAACAGAGACTGTATGCAGGAAGTAGGTAGCCATCATAAAAGGACAGTCCTGTGTTAGGTGCAGTATCTTGTGTCACTTGGTACGCTTCCACCTTGTGAGAAATCCTTGCTAGCTTAATGCAGGACATGTCAAACACCAAAAAATGAGGTTCAGTTAAAAAAAAGTATCTTAACTCAGTGTCCCTGTGTCCATGTTTTGAGATTTGTGAAACCTTCTATTAATATTTACTTACCCTAATAGCTCTTGAAATAAAATGTTCGTTTACATTTTTAAAGACACAATAAACCAGTATTTCCTTTTTTGGTACGAAGGCTTTTCAACAGACATTTGATTTATGAAAAGTGATTTTGCCTTAAAGACTCCCCCGAGGAAGTGAGCAACTTTCAGCAACCATGCATGAAAGATCAATGACATCTTAGGGGAAAAACTCTGGTGTAAGAGCTGCAGAGTGTTACTTCATCCAGTTTCAGTTGCTTAGATTTCCACCCCCCACCCCCCCAACTGCCCTCCCCAGCTGCTCACTAGATGGGGTTTGGTTTAGCAAACCCCTCACTTCCCATCCCCTGACCAGTGGATAGAGGCTGTAGTGCATTATTCTGACTCATTTGATGCTCATTTCCTCTCATTTTGTTTTACCCCATTTACAACTTTTGGACAAGAAAACATTTCTCTTTCTCCACAAGGAGAGCGAACTCCAGTATTCAATTCTTTCAGCAACTTCCTTAAATGAGGCATCTCAAACTTCAGGCAAACTGCTAAAGTGAACACTAAGCATTGCTCAGTCCAAACACCTGAAGTTAATCCTCATCCTCAACCTTCAGAAGTTCAAGTAATCCAGCAAATATCACATTAACATACAAGACCTAGCAATTTCTTTCCTTGGACTTAATATACATTTTTGATATCTTATCTCCTAGGTGTTATCAATTCTAAGTTTATAATGTCAGTGTAAGCGACAAAAGCTTCAACATGCTGAACTTTATGTCCTGTCTCTCTGCAGCACCCATATGCAGGATAGTAGCAGATACAAGAACACCGAGTTCCACAGTTCACTTCAGATCCAGTATTTACTTTTGTATTAGAAGAAATTCACAGGAATTGAGGATAAGGGAATTGAAGGTTGTCTGTATTGTACAGTTCAGCTAAATAATTCCTGTAAGATTAGAGAAAACACAGTCTTTGAAGCAAGGCCAGCATTAGGCTTTGTTGTGAATATTAACACTAGAACAAAGAACATGAGGTCAATTACACTATGTAATTTGACATTGATTTTTATCCTTGACTGTGAAGGAAATAGACAAATTCTTTAATTTGATTTTTTATTGTGCTAAAACATTCTTAATTTTAGATGCAATTAAACAGATCCTTTACACCTTGGCAGCATGCAGGTCTATACAATGGGTATCCTCCCACCCAATTAAAACTTTCTGTTGTTATTCCCCTGCAGGTATCACTGATTAACTACAGCAGCTGGCTACTAAGTTATTATCACAATTGAAGAGTCCAGTGAGCACAGCATTCATAAAATACACATTTCTCTTAAGACACTAATCTTGGCCACAGTACGCAAACATTTAGGTAAATGCAGTCAATTTGAGTTCGACCTGAAAATCCTCTTCTGAAGAGTAGCAGCTGCATTATGTAGCCACAGGATTCAAATTATCATGTCCTGAATATAGATCCTGTTAAGAATATCAAAACTAACTGTACAGTCCAATTTTCTATGTTGGTTCTACATTACAGAGGCCACAGAAGAAATAAGGGTCTCCTGGCAGCATTCCTGACATTGCTATTGAAGAAACCATCAACAACAAAATTAATTTAATATGGAATTGTATATACGTGAGATACCAAAAAAAAAAATCTTCCATGAAGTCAGATTTCCTTTGCCATCCTTATTCTCCAGTGCTTATTCACCTTTTCTGGACTTAAAACTGCTCCATCAAAACCAAACTGACCAGCTTCAGCATACCCCAGGAGTGAAACTGAACACTTCTGGAGTTCAAGAGAACAACAATGTTACCAGGAGTCTGGAACACATAGTCACCCCATGGCTTCTCAGCAAGAATACTACCAAGCATAGGTTTTCTAAAAATATATTATACCATTTAAGAACATTTCTCTACTACTCCTACTAATTTGTATTATATACAGCATCCAAGGTCATCTTGAATAAGTAGCCTGTTGAAGTCTTCTGTAACACATGAGTTTGTTGGTGATTTATGGTATTTTTCTTAATACCAAGAATAGATCAAATGTTTTTGTTACCTGCAATGGAAAAATATTACTAAGTTTGGGTTTTTGACTATTGCTCCTACCACACTGTGTAATTCTTTGCCTGCTGGGGGCAGGAAGGCACTACACTCCACATAAGAGGCAAGGCAGAATTTCAGACCCTGGAATATACTGTGAAATGAAGGTCTAGTTGAGATCTACAGTCTCCCCCTCCCTCCTACACTGCTTCCCTCCATGTGCCCCTACACTCCCGCCGTCTTTTCCTCCACTCCAGTCACCTGCAGGCCTTCTGCATCTTGCCTTTACACCTACAGCAGTGTAAGGTCCTGCCAGGGGCCAGCTTAAGAACCAGGGCCCAGAGCTCTGGCTGAGCCACCTGTACCCCTACCACCAGTGCAGCAGATGCCACCATCACCCCATCAGCTGTAAGGGGAAGCTGCAAGCAATATACAGCAGCAAAGTTCCCATCTTGCAAGGTGATGCAAACCAGCTGAGTCTGTAACCTACTCCTTCCTCTTCCCCCCATCAAATGCACTTTCTATGATCTGACCTGACACACCACCTGCTCAGCACAGGCTGGAGGAAATGGCTGGGAAGCACAAGAGCAATCAGAGCACTACAAGCACCCCATTGATGCAGCCTTCAACATCTGCTGTGACACACACAAGGTGCCATGCTCCTTCCTTCCCCAAATGCAGCAGACTATACAAGACCATCATACCTTCTTTGGTTAAGTGTTACAAGGACATGGGTACATCAGTATCTAAGCTTACCTTCTTTAAAAGGAGTTTTTGGAGGAATATTTTCCTTGCTATCATGCTGGAAAGCTTTGGAAGGATCAAAACGCTTAATGCCCTGGTTTGCATATACTTGCTCCTGAAGATCTCTGTTGGTTTGTTTTTCTTTCGCTAGCAATGCACGCAGTTTTGAGACATCCTAAAGAAAACATAATACTTAAAATTTAGATTAAAAAACGGAGAAAAGCTTGCTTCATCCTTTACTGAAGTAGCCCTTTTGACTAACACTAAACACAAACATACATGTACAATTATTAGTGGCGTTAAAAAACAAGCCAAAATCAGAGCTGTAGAGAGACCAGCAGCATGGTATAACTACTGTATAACACCACAAAAGGAATATGGTAGCCTGAACTTTTCAGGTGCTGCTTTCAGCAGAGTTTACTAAGTCTAGATCCTCCAAAAGAGCTAAGAAAAACCAAGCTAAGAGGAGGAGTAGTTATTTGCACTTGTAATCCCTCTGTATATCAGATTCCCTTGGTGTTTCTGGAGGCCAGTGGTTTATTCTAATATAGCTCTACCAGGGCATTTAAGAAGCATAGAAAGTGGTCTGCAGGATTAGTCTATAAATATTTAGAGCAACTAACCAAGAAATCAAGTAAAGAAACTTGAAGATTTCTAACCTCTCATTTCACAAACCTGCTTAAGGTGCATATTGTCTTCCTTCAGTTTCATGACATGCTTGATTTTTTGCTTCTGGTTCTGGTGGCCAAGTAGTTTGGCATAAGCATCACTTAGTTTATTCAGTTCTTCCTGGGCTGCACCATGCTCATTTAAGAGTGCATTCTTCTCTGCTTCAAATGCATCTAGTTGTTGCTGAAATACATATTGAATCTTTTACAAATCTTTAAATTAAATATAGCTTTTTACTTAATTGAACTACAAAGAAAATTGCTTTGGGAAGAGAATAGATGGCTCAAGGGATAGTAACTTAGGAAACCATTGCAGGATAAATGCCTTAAAATAGGAAATAACATGTTTACTTAAACAGTCAACTGCACAGGTCTTAACAGATAGTAATCAACACCCACTCCATAACACACCTGAAAAGGCTTGGTTTTGTTATATAAATCTTTGTACAGATTACACCAGGTCTTCATCTCTTCTTTCAAGTTCGAGATCACACCTTCATTTATGGTTTTCCTAAAAAGTAAGAAGTTGAGTTTCATTATGCTTACTGTTAGTTCTCAGCACTACTTCACACTAAAAAACTTTGATGTCCTACAATATGCAGGTTTAGTTTGAGAACAGTCACCTTGATATTTCCAGCTCAAGTTTTCTTTTCAGATCTTCATTTTGCTCTTTCAGTTTTTCTTGAAGTTCAGTCATTTGTGCGAGACAAGACTCCTTTGTTCTCTCTGTTTCTGCTTCTTTTAGTGCAAGCTTTGTCTGGACTTCTAAAAGCATCCTAAGGAAAATACCATCCATGCTTAATCAACCCTTTTTTTTTTTTTTACACTAGTCTAAATCTGAAAAGACAAGTAACCATGATTGAAAAGCTGTTAGTAGAAGAACCGAGGTAAAGTTTGCGCAAACAGTGCTACAAGGAAGAACAACAATATAGAAAGCAGTCAAGTTCAAGATGTATGGTATTTTTAACTCCTCCTATGAGGAAGCAAGCAGTGCTTTTGAAGCAAGGAAAGATCATATGTTTCTTCCTTACGGCTGTGTAACACCAGCAGCTTCTAGTGAAAGACACTTTAGTAATTAGAACTACATGCAAAGTTTTGCTCAAGCAGAAACTAGTCAAGGCTGTTCCATGTGGATGTACTCAAGGATTCAAAAACTCTACACCTAAAAGCACTGCCTTCCCCCTCCAGCTTCAGCTGTTCCCTGTGTCACCTAGGTGAGGACTAAGAATCCAATCCCTGCCACACTCAACCAGCAAATCAGAAAGGAAATTATTATTCTTCCTTCAGTTGTTTTCCTTTTACCAGCAGTAATGGAAACTGGAGGCAGTAATAAGGAGGTGGGGAGGACAGAAAGGGCAATGTCTTAAGCAGCACAGGTATTTTGAAATAAGCTGGGGTAAGCAGTAATTGTCCTGTGGACAGTCTTAATATACTAGCTATGGACAAACAAGACAGCAGAAGCATAAAATGCCTTCATAAAGTGTTGTATAAGTCAGCAACAACAGAGTTGGGAAGATCAGAAATGCCCAATGCATTTTGGCCAAAACAGCATTTTAACATAGCTGAATGAGTATTTTATCCACATGCAACAGTTAAACATTAGAGCATAGTCATTGATTTAAATCCAGCTTCAACTTCACATGGTAGCTAGGAACTACATTAAAAGCAGCAGAGAAGGAAATCTTCCAGCATATATATGTTCTATAACACAGCTCACGTACAGACAGTTACCACAAGTTGCCTAACAGGTGACTGTACACCAGGACTTTTTAAGACTAAACTTCCCCACTTCCTCAGATAGTAAGTCACTTGCCCACAGCAGGGGACTTTCTCCTGCTCTGTGCAGTGAGCTGGAAGGAGAACATACATCACTGGAGCTGCTGTCAGAGAAACATGCCCTCAGCTAGTGGCCTGTGTCTTGGGTGTTACTAAGCAGCTGCACTGTGGTGCTTCCACAGAAGGCAGAACGAGGACCTTTGTTTACCTCACCACACTGTGGTATTTATGGATGCTTAACTGGCATCTGCTTGTGAGCAGAATTTGAGGTGATGGATTATTCAGAACAAAGTGGCAAAGGGTGAGCTCTGTGTTAAGTATTTGTCTGTCCCTGTGGATCTTATCTGTAGAGTAGTTGCTGTAACTTATTTCTGATAAAGACCATATTTCAACACAGTTCAGTGTTATCCTTTTCCTGTATGTTCCACATAAACGACAGTCTAAGCAATTGATTGAACAGACCAGTTTTCTAATGCACGTAAACTTTGTGAATTTTGCCTATTTTCAACCTGGGAAAAGGAAGAAAGCTTAAGCTTACACCAAATACTGATTTTACCTGTTAGAGCATCGTATTAAGTTCTAGTTAAGAAGGCAAGCCTTAGTTGGCATTCTTTAGCTTAAGGAAAAGTTAGTCAGTTTAGTACCTTGCACATTCTTCTTTTGCTTTGCTTTTAGTGTATTCTGCTTCCTGAAGTAGTTGTAAATTATCTTGGCCTATTTTTTTTAGGTTGACAACCATTTCTTGCAGGGAGGTGTTCTCCAGTTTAAGACTCTGTATTTCTTCAGCTATTGCCTTCTTGTAGCTGGTATTACAATGCAAGTAAGCAAAATTTTGTTACTTTAGAGAAAATACAAATTGACATATTCAGGGCTTACATATTCAAAGCAATACAAGCTCATGCTAAGAGATTTTAGAATCTGGAGATACAGCACTATTCTGGCACCGATAAATCTAAAGTTAACCCCCCACCCCCCATTTCTATAAAACCATAGGCAGTAACACTATGACAAATTCTGCAATACAGATTTTAAAACACAAGACATACTGTATCTGAAGCTTATTTTAAACACCAAATGACCTATTATCTACAGATAGCATTGGCAAATATCCCATTGGATCTGTCATGGGTGACATGCATACTTAGCAATAACAGTATCACTTTTAAATACCTCCACAATCTGAATATTTTGAAGAACGAACCTGAAGAACTGTAGGAAAATAATCTCGATTCAGTACAGAGATCAGCATGACTAGTTACAGGTCTCATTGAGAGGCGAAAGCACTTGAATATTCTAATTGGTTACACTTCAGAAGAAGAAACATCCAGTTTCCTAAACTAATACTAAGTATGTCATTATACTTGATTAGTACTCAAAAGGAATAAATTAATTTCACAATGCCATTGAATACTTCGTCACCAAATTCTCTGCTTTAACACTGTAACAACGCTCATATACAGTGTAATATATCAAGGCACGTGAATAAACAGCATATTTTACTGTAATCTTAGAGACAAACCCCATCATAGATCTTAATGAAATTTAAATACCTTTCAAACTCAGCCACAGTCTTCCCAAGTTTACGCAACGTATTGCTATGCTCTTCTTGGATTTGCAGAAGAGCATTGCTGTGCTTTTCATTGATTTGCTCCAACTCAGCATTCTTCCTGAAATAAAAATTCAGCATTCCACACTGAAGATAAGTATGTCCAAACACACTACCAAATGCTGTTATCAATTACAGGATGCTTGCAGTGGCAGCAATAAATTAATTGTGACAAACCAGTAACTTCTCTGCCACACCTTCAAGTGTTCAAGCCCAACATTCATAGCAGATTTAACTAAGCATTTCTCCATCGTCTTAGTTTCCAAGATAACTGTAGAATAGATTGAACACCTAATAGTAAATTTTCAGTACATGAAAGGAAGAAACAACTTGCCTGAAAAATCTTTCCTAGTCATTGACCTCTCCAGGGCAGAAACATCAAATACAATATGCATTTAGCTTAACCTGCTACTATTACTATTAATTTCTATTAGATAATTAATATCACATACAACTAGGGAATTAATAGTATTACTATTACCCTATTATCACAGCACTGGAATTTCAAACAAGTCTCAGCACACTAATTAGTTTTAAATTAAGACAATATAAAATTGATTCAAGCTATTATTGATAGTGATTGAATCTAATCACTATCAATCAGCAAGAAATAAGTTTAGATCTGTTCAGATCTCCAAAACCTGATTTAGGCTCAGAAGCTTTGTTTATATGACTGATTTAACATTTTTCCTTTCAAAGCTGTAGAATCAGAAAATTTATTTCACAAACCCTTTCAGCTTCACTTCCATCTGTGCAAGTTCAAGAGCTTGAGATTTGATTTCCTGTTCCAACCGCTTCACCAACTTCTCCGCTTTCTTCTCCTTAGCATGTAATTTATTCAACTCATTCATTGTATCACTCAGCTCTTCTTCAAGAAGAAGTCTCTCACTTGTTACTTCATCTTGAAACTCCAGTAACTTCTGGTGCATTAATGCAGATGACTCCTGCATGCCAGAATACCAGGGATTTTAAAACAACCATTTTCTAGATATTAAAGGCTAGTTTACAGCATTCAAACTTTAAAACACCAAATAAGTTAAAATCTAAAGGAGAATCAAAGCACACCGTTTCTGCTGGCCAGCACCCACTTGTACATTCCATAATGAATGTAGCAATTGCATGTGCAACCAAAAATCAGAACCTTCAGAGCAAGTAGTTGGATCAGTCTATTTTTACACTAATTTATAGAATGTATTTACCTTTTCTTGCTGCAGCTGAGAGACTATCTTCTCATGTTTCTGAAGCAGTTTTTGCTGTTCTTGTTCATCTAAGCTGATTTTTTTTTTCAGGTCTTCTATTTCAGCATTCATACTCAGGAATTTTCCTCTGGTCTCCAACAACTCTTGCTCTGCTCAGAGGAATTGTTAATATAACACAAATTGCCTTCTCTTATCTTCAGAGAACTACATCTATCCTTCAGAGTAATTCCATTCTAACTTTAAAGTTAGTTAGGCAAGGGAAAAAAAAAAATCCCCAAACAAAACAAAACATCTTTAAGCCATCTGGAAACTCAAAGTTGGCTGAAAGCACACCACTTAAAATTATTTTAACAGCAGGAATGTTTGGATCAAGCAATTAGCCTTCATCAGAACAGCAGTACAGCTGGGGAAAAACTAAATGATTTCCCCAAAGCTTCTTCTGCATAATACTAGCACATACAAGCCAACTGGTACAGAGAACTGAGTCCCAGTCTCAGGCTGCAGAATTGCTGGTTTTGGGGGAGGGGAAGGAAAGAGGTGAAGAAGGATTCACATACACATTCCCAATACCTCAGTGAACTTCCACACAAGCTGCTAACAGTGAATTGAGACAAGTTGATGCTGCTTCTCAATGAAGAGCAAGAAATAAGTCATCTGTGTTCACCTCACAGATTAAAGCCATTCCTACTATGTAAGCAATTTTAATTCTATACTATTACCTTAGTAACCCTCCATGGAAATAAAAATTTAGACTTAACAGATGTCAGATTGAAGGCAATTTCCATATTGCTAGAAATATACCTAGGTGCATTCAGCTGGAGCTCAGAGACATGACTTAACTTGGAACAAACCAGTCTAAATTGACATTTTAGAACAAACCTCTCTGAGATGCTTCCAGACATGTCAATGATCCCATATATGTGAACAACATACAAGCACTAAGAAATACCTTTTTCTTGTTGAAGCAAATGACACCTTTCATTAAGTTCTTTCATCAGTTTAAATGATTCTTCCTCTTTTGTTTTCAGGGTATCCCTCAGGATCTCAATATCTTGGTCTTTCTTTACCAGCATCTCCTCCATCTGGGCAACATCCAGTTTGTATTTCTCAACTGTTTCTGCAACACTACTGTAGGAGAAATCAAGTATTTGCTACCACTAAATTTTGTTTGTAAGCTTAAACTTCAGCAGAAAGAAATCTTGCTTAGGACTGTTCGCTTCCAACAGGAAAACTGCCGTCACCTACCTTCCCAGACACAAGTTTTTGCATATTAAGGCAAGTTAATTAAAACCAAAGTACTTAAACCACCAATGTTTTGTTTTGAACTAAACTTAAACAGTTACACAAAATATAAAGGTTTCATTAAAACAGAATTAGTCACTATAATTGATTTACAGATGACTACTACAGCCATTTTTTTTTACAAAGCTGAGTTTTCACAGAAAAGCATACACATTAATAGAACCATTTTCACAAGAATAATCAGAATCTTAAGATGGCCAGTTAATGAAGTATCTCTTAATAAGTAAATTGACAGTGGTGTGGGTGGTGAAGAGTGAACTAGTTAAGTTTAAATACTTTTGTATTTTCACCAAGTTCTGAGCTAGGAATATATTACTACTGTGAAGCCTGGCTAGAATTTCAATCAGTTACAAAATACTGGATTATTGATCTTTAGAATCAGACTGATGCTCATACATATATAATTCAATACAACTCAAATACAAGTTATTTTATATATATATATATATATATATATATATATGTATTGCAAACTTCACTGTAAGCCATTATTGAGGGTTTTTTTGCATTACTGTACATAATTTTACAAGCAGGGCTAAAAGACATTACTGCCAGTACCTTAGAGGAAAAGGATTTAGCTTGATTTATGTACAAATAGGCTAAAAACACGATTTCAGTACCCTGATACCAAACTCCTTCATAGTATTGCTTAGCCCAGAAAAGCAGAGACACATTTAGAAAGTTCATTAAAATAATACCTTATGACTTCTTTCCATTATGTGGAAAGATTCCTGCTTTCTTTTCTGCCTCTGATAGTGTTAAACAGAATTGCTGCCAAGTTTCTACTTCACCAGTCATAAAGAAAGCTTAGTTTTAGTGCCTTTTAAACTTATGCAGTCCAACTCAAGAACAATTTGTTGTTACCTGAGCTCTGTGATATATTCCAGGAGTTTTTCAGTGTCAGACTTATCTTCAACTTTCTCTCTCTCAGTAGCAGACCTAAAACCAGGAAGTTTCCGTTATGGATGTATTTAAACAAATTCACAACTGCTTGTAAGCTATTTGTTTATAGATAAGCAAGTATAAATAAACCATTGAATTGTGACTTAGTAACAATACATTCTTTTCATAATTCAGTTTGGCTGACAAACTGGTATTGGCCCTGCGAGGTGATTCTGCCCTCTTTTGATACTTGTTCCATATGGTGTTCTCGTTTGTAGTAAAGATGCTGAGCCATATGCTGCCCCAAGAAAGTGTGCTAGAACAGTTGCATTAGCTAGACAAATTACCATTGCCTCCTTTTGTGCATTGCGCTACCTGCATGATTAGCTTTGTGTATTTTTAGCTCTACTGTAGGTACAAAAATTATTCTCATATTTGAGCACTTGCATGTTAAGTAAATGAAGAAAGGGTAAGAAGGATGTTGCAGTGCCAATCATGCAAAATTGACATAAAATATACCTTATAACTCCATCCTTCTTAGGTTGCCATCCTCAGAAATAGCCTATACGTTAGTGCACTGCTCCTGCGTGGCAAATGACAGTATTTGGGCAGAATAAGAACTCTTTTCCTACATACGGCTGCTTAATCCAAGACACTTTGTAGTTGCCTTTTTTTCAGAGAATGTGGCTGTTATGAATCAATTTAGAAGGCACCACAACTGCTCTTCAATACACTTAGCTGAAGAACACACAGGTACTCACTGAACTTGGGTCAAATGCCTGGCTACTGAATTAGGATCTCAACTCCTGGTCCAATACCTTTCCATTCTTGCTTATTCCTAACTGACTAGTCTAAAGGGCCAGACACTGAAGTACCCAATTTACATGAATGTCTTACTCCAAGATGAACAACCCTTTTCTCAAAATACATGCTTTGCTCCCCATCCACCCACTGGAAGGCAAAGGGTTGAGATGATACAGTTTGTCTTTTGGAAAAATATTACATACATTAGAGAAGCAATAATCTGTATGTTCTTTTTATAAGAATATAGCAGTTGCTAAAACTTAATTCCATCAAGTTTATTCCCATTTACAAATACTAACAATTTCTGTTCCTTCTCAGTAGGGAGACAGCCTATATTTTCCCTAAACTACATGCTTACTATAAGGTATAAGCATATAAGAACAGCTAGATGATACAACATTTAAGTCAATACCCTTCCTTACTACTTACAGTTTTTCTTCTAACTGTGCTACTTTTCCTTTTGAGTGCTCTAGACTCCTTTGCACTTCCTGCAGCTTCATTTCCATGTCTTCCTGCTTTGCAACTGCAGTCTTAAAAAAAGAAAAATATCACCACCAAAATGAGATTTAGTAAAACAAAAAAATCCACCTACTAAGAGAACGTGGTAAACAGAAGTTGAGGCATAACTACAGTTTAGTGATAGCGCTTGCTACTATGCTACATGTGATTCAAAGCATCCCCCTGTAAATATACTAGCCATTTGCTAAAAAACTGACCACCACCACCAGTTGAAAAACAAACATTTCTAAACAGCTCCAAACTATACTAAGGACCACTGATTTTCAAAGAAATTAATAGTGTGACCAACAGATTGGTATTGTAACAGAGGTATTTCTAGGCTTCCTTACTTGAACAAAGGTTTACTCTGCGTATCAACAGCAAGATGAAGAACATTCGTTGTTTGATCTTTCTTTCTCTATTTTCACTGTACAGAAAATAGAAGAAACTACCGAGTTGAGGACAGAAACAGCACACGACCTGCAGGTCTGTTGTAAGCACTTCATTAGCTGATCCTGAACAGCTCACAATTACTAACCCGTGCAGGGCAAATAGTCATACCTTTTCCTTAGCGTCCCTCTTGTTTCTGAGCTTCATTAACTCCATGCATAGGCTGCTCATTTTCTTCTGCATGCCATCTTCAGACAGCTTATTAGAGAAGAAATTAAAAAATAAGCATAACTCCTTTGTATGAATTACTCCTTACACAATCTAAGTGTCTCCCTCCCACAACACGGATCTCCACTCGTCCGTGAGATGGGTGCTAGCGAGTCCCAATCTGTCTATAGACAAAAGTGCACAAGATTCCAAACCAGACACACTCCAGCCCTGTACCAGTGAAGGGGCACAGGGAACATCAGAACAGACACTGAGCAGCAACTGAAGCTTCCTCTTGCCCAGCGAGCTTAACAACACCAAAGGCAAAGCAAATATATGCTTCTTTGTCAGAATACCTTTGACTTCAGTAGTTCATTGGTTCTTGTTAGTTCCAGAAGCTGTTTTTTCAGACATGCAACATTTGCCAGAATAGATGTTTTCTCCTGAACTGTAGCACTCAGCTTTGCTTCAATCTTAACAAAATCCTCATCCAGAGCCTGAAGTTTTTTATCCTGCTCTCCACGCTCTCTCACTAATGTACGAATCTAAAACAAAAGAGGCATTTTCTTTATTTCTCATGATTACTCTTCTTCAACAACATCATTAGTTTATGCCTGTGATTTTCTTGGAGAGGCTAAGTATCCACACTGTATTAACTTTCATTCAGAATATGTACCTTCAACTCTGTCATTCACAGGAAATGGAAATAACAGAACCATCACAATTCTCTATTATAATATACAACAGATTTGCAGCCCTATCATTTAATCTGATTTATTTCATGCTTTGAGCTACTCATGCTTCTGAGTAACTTTACCATGTTAAAGTTACAAGAGTCTTAGCTTCAACTTGAAACAGAAGCCAACTCTCCACTTTGGCTGTGGAATAGAAAGACAGTATGTGACACTTGAGACTGGAGGCACAGATTAAAACACAGAAGTGTACTGATGAGAAAAAGCCAGCCGACTCAAACTTTAAAATTATGTCAATTACTAAGCAAAAATCTCAACAAACTTGTTAAACAGAACTTTTTTGGGGTGGAGAACATAGGACTTTTTTTTTTTTTTTTACAAAAAACTGTCTGCGTAGCTGTTCACAAACAGTAAGAATTAATCTAATTCTAACCCAATACTTCCACATACCGTAACATTTGATAATCTCTGCTCTGCACAAAGCTGTTTGTGAACTACTTGTATGCTATGTTACACAAAAGAGGCTCATTTTACCAGCTTGTATTTTTTATTATGATATGTGGGAAACATATTAAAGGATTGCACTCAGTGTATTCATACCTCCTTCTCCAGCATCTTCTGTTTCTTTTTCTCTTTCATAAGGATAAGATCTTTTTTAGGCTTCAGAGTCCTATTCGCTGGCTTTTGAAAACAGATGTATGAGAAACATTTAAACTGATCTGTAGCTGCATATTAGTTTAACACAGTTAAACATAAGAGTGGACACCTTCACATAGACAATGCTATTAAAGATATACAAATAAGATGCAAACATCTCTCTCCCACACATAGGGCAGACAAGTATTAGGTTTGGATGGGGTTTACCTCTGTACTTGCTCATAAGCATTACTCCAAATCGACAGCTCATAACCATACCAACAAGAAGTTTGAGACATTAGCACCCTCTAAACACCATAAAACAATCCACTTTCAACTCTTAACTCTTAAGTTTGCTTGCAGAATTTCATCCTACGTTGTGGTGGTGCAATTCCTCCCCCCACCTCCTTCCTGGGCTGCTCTGTGTTTTGTGTGATTCCAAACCCCCTCCTGGGCCACATACTAATTTAGGGAGGTATGGGCTGCAGATGGCAGTGAACCAGAGTGTTAAGGCACCTCTTTAACGAGCCTGGCTCCTGCTCTGCTATTGCTTGACAAGGTTATAACAGTCCATCACCGCCTAACAGCCTGGTACACCTGTACCTGGGATGTGGCCAAGGGAGAACAATAACAGAACTGCACATTCATCAAGTTCTTGATCTGTGCAGCTGGTGGAAAACACCAGAATATTTCATGACTTGAGTTGGGCCAGAGTGGAAAAGGACCTGATGAAAGTGAATTATCTTGGACCCTGTAAACAGCAGCCCCAAGTGAGACCCCTTGAGCTCTCCTGGGTGCCACTGGGCCTGTGACCAGCATCTCCCCTGAGCTGGGACACCTCTCAGGCATTAACTCCCCGAGGAGTCCACTGACAGAGCCGATGGGAGCCCAGGGCAAAGCCGACCTGCTCGAGTCTCAGTTATCACCTGCTGAGGAACACCGATGCATTGTGAGTATTTGCTCTAAACTAGAGAGGAGGGAAATTTTAACTGTAGGCCAGCTTCTTTCACTCACCTCTCTACCTACCAATGTGTTTGGGTATACACATTTATTTTCACAAGTGTGGGTACATACATATTTCACCAGATACAAATATTTTTGTCTGTATGTCTTGTGTTTATGAATGTACATATGTATAGTGATTTAGGATACTTAGTGTGAATCTTGTAATCTTTGAATAGGTACTTAAGTCCCTACTTTAATTGTAACATATTTTACTAAATTATTTTGTAAATCCTTAAATTGGTTAATGATTAAGTGCTACTAGGCATTAAAGTCTTGATTTGCTGCTAAATCATTACTGTGTTAATATTTTCATCTGCAACAAATTGGTGTAGTCAGAAGGATGACAAGCAAAATAACTACTTACAAAAATAGAGCATACAACCAAATCCCACCTTCCCAAAGTATTGGGCTTGTAATAATTATTGTAACTGGGAAGTGGTAGAAGAACAGTTAACTGATCCTAGAGGATTGTTGGAAAAGATAAAGCTACAGTTTGTAAAATGTTGGGAGTGTGCCTAGAAGCTGCCTGCCAGGAACAAGGAAAATTCAGTCATAAAATGACGAGATTTCAGGGGGCAAATTCAGCAAGCTGCTCTTATCAATTATAACAGCAGCAAAACCAAGTTAAGAAATACCATAAACACAGGAAAAACTGGGGGAATGTATTGAAAGGATGCAAATGTGGTCTCCAAAACCCCTTGATACAGTTCGAGTTGGGAAACTGTCTCCCCTGAAGACTGGGATGGTAATATTTGGAGTGATTCAAACAACAGCTCAGATTAAAATGATTCTTTTCAACTGCTTGAGCGACCCCCACTTGCAATCAGACCTATTATTAAAACAGAAGAAACAACAGGACCTCAGGGTGGTGTGAGAAATCACATTAGCAGAACAACCCTGTTTGATGCAATTCAGATGGCCAATTTACAAGACAGTTACAGCTGTAAGCCTGGAGAAACTGAAACTGAATACCTCTGGAGAGCGTCTCTGAATGGGGAGATATAGTTTTACTAGATAGCAATGAAGTCAGTGGTTATTGGGGTCCTAGTGTCTTTTTGAATGCTGGCCATACCCCCCCGAGTGACCCCCACTCACTAACAAGCAGAGTGTCTTACTGGGCTGGTGGCATCGATGCCTTAGGGAGAAGAGAACCTCTATATACCTGTCAAATCTCTAAACGAGCTCTCCACGGCTTTTACGAAGGCTGCCTGTATTAAAGCCATGCATTAATAGGATCCTAGTGATGTTCCTGTTTCAGCACCTATGGCTCCTGCTATACTTAAACCATTGATAAAAGGAGCCCCTGCCACACTCCAACCTTTCCTCATTGCAAAATAAGATAAGACCCAGAGAGACTTAAGTTATAATGAATTGGTAAACATAACACAGACTGTTGGGAAATGGTGAGGAAGGAGAATTAGAACAGGGAGAATCATCCCCTTGGGCGATGCTAATATATGAAACTATAAATCATGCATGAGAAGTGGGACGGCATGAAATTCCCAGTAAAACAAAAAACACAGGTCACACTGTTAGACAAATTAAACAATCACATCAGAACAATTCCCACAAACAAAAATCCTGTGACCAACAATTTAAGGGCCAGGAGTGGAGAAATGAACTATGGAAGCACGCATTGGCACTAGGAATTCCTAGAGACATTATTCAGAGACAACCTACCAGTGTTATTCTGAGTTTAATTCAAGCATTTAAAAAATGTAACACTCCAAATCCTCCATCATCAGCTCCCAGAGAGAAATAACCCTCTTGTCCCTCACAAGGATCAGTTACAAAACATAAGAGCAAAAAACCTAATTATGCCCCAATGGCAATTGGGTCTGCCAGTCTGGCAAGTAGAAGCTTCTCAATGGTTAAATGAGAACAGCCCTTACATTTTAATTCCAGTGGGTCCTCAACAACAGTTAACAAAATTTTTAGTTGACACTGGAGCACAAATTTCAATTATACAATGGGATGCTGGTAAGCTAGGCATATGACCTGGACAGCAAAAAGTTAAAATTACTGGCGTTACGGGAACTAGCACTGTGTGCCAAAGAGCAAAAGGTACTTCATGGCTTCCTGACACAAAGCATACAACATCTTTTCACTCTGCAATCAAGGAGCACCATGGAAATATCCTAGGTTTTGATGTGTTGAACAAGCCAATGAACTACTGAAAAATTATCTTGAAACACATGAAGGACAATGGGACAACCATCCTTCTAGATTGGTATGGCCCCTATGGAAGTCCAATTACTCAAGCCTTTTGAATACCTTCTCCAGAAAAATCCCTAAACAACAAGCATACCTGGTCTTTGATGAAACTGGGACAGCCTATGATGGTAAAAATACCATCTGTAGGAACAATTCCAGTAACCTAACCAAACCACGAGGATTTCGAGCATGGGATGTTATTGACAATGATGGAATAGATCTCTAAATCAGTACTAAATGGATTTATCCTACATCATAGGGGGCAACCCATTTAGTCTTCCCCACCAAGACAGTTCCTTCTTCCTTTCTTTTTCAGAAATAATGAACTCCAACAACATTGTGGGAACAAACAGCACACCCAGCGATTGCACCAGTAGCACTGTGGGAACAATTGCAATCTTTGAGGTGGGACGTCTTCGCAGCATTGTACCTACTCCTCTCCCTCACCATTGTACATCAGTGGCCACAACGACAATGGCTACACACCCCTTCCCCTCTCTTTACCTGTCCAGGAGAGTTTTCCTGCTCCTATCAGACATTTTACCTCACTGGGAACAAATTGAAGAAAATTAAAATTAATTAATTAATAAAAGCTCTTGGAGCAACCCACGGTAACAGCCCTCTTGCTTGAGTTGTATTCCAGTGCAATTGTGGATACAGTCTATAGTAGCAGCCACTATTAGAGAAAGAGAAGGAGGAACGCCACCCACAGAGATCTATAAATTTTTCTGGGACAAGGCCTCAGAATTTGAAAGGGAATTTCAATCATGCTGGCAATTGAACAACCTCATTCACCATGCAGAAAGCAATAGGATTATTGCCTTTGTCCTTGCCTTAGTAGTACTTCAGTGTACAATATATACCAAATGATTGCGTTCAGACTGAATCACTGTGGAACCATACTCTATCCCTTGGAGCATAGAGTGTGGGCCCACTAAGAAGAAGAAAACAAGCAAACAATTGATGTAAATGCATGTACTGTGCGAGAACAACAAGGCTTCATTTGTCAAGTAGTACTCTTGAAGCTCCAAGACTTTTGTCTTGACATTGAACAAAATATTTGCCACTTTGAAATCCACTCAAACAAAACCCCTGAAACCATAGTGCTAGGTGTTGGAAAAGGATGCATGCAAACATTATGTGATTTTTTATTGGTAAATGATTTTGTCTATAACGTAACCAATCAGTTCAATCTATGTGTGCGTATCTTTTCTGTGATTATTGGTTGTGATCTTAATTTCTCTGTGTCAATAACTACAATGACTTATCTTTAGATTACACATTATACTGCAAGATAGAACCCACACCTATGGGGATGAACATAACCATACTCAAGCAACTCCTCCAACACCCCGATTTAATCAATCTTCTACAATAAGCACAAGAAACAGGATAAAAGACTCTATCACAGTCCAGCATGATGTAAAAGAAATACATTAGGTGTTGAAGAGAGCCAAAATGGACGGAGAACACTGATGGTGGTGAACATTAGGAGTGCTAATAAACTAAATTAGTAAGTCAGGGTTATAATGTCTCAACTTGTTAAGCATCTTCAAATCCTTTACCTCACATACTGCACTGAGAACCTGTATATAGAGTATCATCCCCTCTTTGTTACATTTACTACTAGGTTTCTACTCTGTTTTGTCCACCATATGACAGCAGAAACATCATCTTAAAAAGAAGCAGGCACACCATAATCACATGATAAGCAAGAAACAAAACCCCCAACATTGTAACACCAAAGACAACAAGCCAACCTGTAGTCCCAAGTAATCATCATATGATTCCCAAAGATACTGCAGTTTCATTTTTCCTTCTTAGCTACTAAGGAATACAGGCACAATATGTTTTTCATACTTTACTCAGGTAGGTTGATACTAATTGTATAAAGGGGCTACATGATTTAACCAGTCACAGTGAGGCCTAGCTGGAGTTTAACAGTGCTATAGACACCATAGAAAAGTCTTACTGTTGTTCCAAGAGATGCAAGTCTTACAGTCTGAGGAGTAGGTGCACTCTTCTCACTGTTCAGATCTGTTTCACCTACAGAAGGATGCAGAAAAGAATGGTGAAGGAGGAGGGTGTGCACACACAGAGTGAGGGAAATTTAACCCAACTAGGCAAGGTTTAATTGAAAAGACAGAAAACCACCTGATTATTAAGACAATTCACTTCACAACCTAATGTCAGCTGTTTTCTTACCACAATCAGGCAGTTCAGTAGTAGTCATCTGGGCAACTGAGAGAGTCTAAACAGAGACTACCAGATGACCACCAGTTCTGAGAATTCAAGCTTCTGCCAAGGCTCCCCCCTATCATTCAGATAACATGCTGTCAGTTTTCAGCTGAGCGATACTTTATACCTGAAAAACCCATGAATCTACCACTAAACTCAAGGTTAATGCAGCAGCTAAATATTTTATTTGAACTCTAGAGATCTCCCTAATTAGCAGAAGTCACATATAAAACTATTTTTGGAAGATTCAGTTACACATGTTTTTACAGCTGCTGTACCCTTGAGCCAGAAGGTAGGTAATGAGCCCCTGCAACAGTAAACAATTTCTAAACAAGAAGAAAACAGTAACAGCATGTAAGCACTAAGAGTTTTTGCATTCAAAGACGTTATACTGTGCATCTTTTACAACTACTTACTCTTCTGTTTCCTAATCCGTTGACATGTTTCAGAAGACAGAGAGCTTTTCAGTGTGTCTGAAGATTTAACATCACATGATCCTCGCAGTGGGGTACATGCTAGAAGTGACATTTTCAGAACAACAGAGAACTATTAAGGTAAATGACAGGGTTTTCAACTTTAGAGAGTTGAGGCTGGTAACACAACTAGGTTGGATCTCTTTAAAAAAGAAAAAAACCTAAACAACCAACAACTGGAGTCTCAGTTCTCCCCATCCTCACCATAAACATAAATCTACAGGACACACGGTAGGGGAAAGTGTTGATTTATTACACGGCTAATAAAATTAGAAACCATGATTTACACAGACCATATTGCAGGGCATCTTACTAGCAATAGCAGCGTTTTAGCTTCCATAAAGAAAAAACCCCAAACGGTTAGAGGATCTTCATGCCAATTGGTGAAAAACTGGTTTAAAGTAGTAGAGGATATAAAACAAAATTAAGTGTTTTTTAAAGATCTTCCTCCAGTTTAGAAAAGACTACTTAGATGTTTTTCAACAGCAAATTTTTCCCTCCAAAGAACTAAGTTACTTAAGCTTCTATAAAAAATTAAAGCCTTCTTTTAAGCATCAGAAGGCTAGCAAGTACTAGTCTACCACTGCTTTATTTAATACATACATATTTACGTTCACCGCTATATTTAATAGCCGTTTCCCTACAACCAGGATCCGACCTGGAGTCGGAATCTTTTCCCCTCAAAGGGAGACTCCTACACGGGCTGAGACAAGAGTCCCCTAAAGAGGTGGTTAGAGATAATTCCCCTCACAGGGGGAGCACAGGCAGAAGGGCTGGGACACGCCGAGGTAACCGCAGGCTGGACCCTGCCTCCCGGCACCACTCCGTAGGGCCGGGACTCCATCCCCCCGCCCCAGGCCCAGGCCCGGCGGCCGCCACGCACGTACCGGAGCTCTGGTTGAAGCGCCGGAGCGGAGCCCGGGCGAAGGCCATGGCAGCGGGACGCGGCGCCGCGGGCCCGCAGCATTCAAAGGCACCAACGGCCCCTCCGCGCGCCCCGCGCAGCCAATCGGCTCCTCCCGTCGGCGGCTCTCTCAGCCAATCAACGCT